AGCTGGAGTCTCCCCTTAAGGCCTCCTTCTCCCTGGCAGGTTCTGATGCAAAGCCAGCTGTTGCAGCTATTGGCATTTTGCCAGAGTCTTTCTGACTGTATCAAGCAGCTGATTGGAAGAACATCAGTGCAGGGGGAATGCTCAGCCAAGAATTTGGAGGATGTTCCATGTGCCTTGTGTTTCACGGTTGATGCTCTTAAGGATTCAATTCAGCAAGTTTCTCTTCAGCCCTCTTTCAGTGCACATGCGCAGGGTTTTGTGGCTGAAGAGTTGATTGGCAGAACTGCCATGCAAAAAATTGACAGGTTTTCCCTTTTTTGGGGAGTGGTTGTTTGGTGAAGATTTGGACAAATATATCCAAAAGATTTCAGGGGTAAGAGTTCTCTTCTACCCTCTAATAGGACATCCAAACCCCCTTCTTTTAAGGTGTCAGGAGCTTCGGTTGCTGGGCTCTCATCTACCTTGCAGTCGTTTCACCACACACAGGTCCCAGCCTCCAGAGGTAGATATTAAAAAAAGAAAAAACCCAAGGAGGTCCTGAGTGCAAAAGTCGTCTAAGAAAGATCCCACTTGTTTAGGTGGGGGGAAGGCTTTTGAATTTTGTGGCCGCATGGAAGGCTCTAATCCAAGACAAATGGGTCATTTCCATGAGTACTCTGGGGTACAGACTAGAATTTCGGGTATTTCCCTCTCCCCAGTTTCTAAGATCAAATGTACCAATAAATCCAGAGAAAAGAAGAGCTTTATTTTAGGCACTTGATTGCCTATTATCATGGTTCCAGCAGACAAAATATTTCAGGGGTTTTATCCAAACCTTTTTACAGTCCCAAAACCAAATGGGGATGTAAGGCCCATTTTGGATCTCAAGGAGCAAAATCAGTTCCTAAATGTCCGATCCTTTCATATGGAATCGATAGTGTCCTCCCTACAGGAGGGAAATTTTTTAGCATCCATAGAAATCAAGGACGCATACCTGCATGTACGGATATTCATTTCTCACCAAAGATTTCTGCAGTTTGTAGTAGTGGCTTAGCAGTCCCAGTTCATATAGCACTACCATTTGGGCTGGCCATGGCTCTCAGAGTTCTCACAAAAAATCTTGCTTCAGTGTTGGGGCTACTCAGAACTCAGGGAGTATTGGTCACAGGTTGTCTAGACAATCTTTTGCTCAGAAATAAGTCAGTACCAGATCTGAAGCAGGATGTGGTCATTACGATGCATATCCTGGAACAGCTGGGCTGCTCAACCTCAAGAAGTCGACCTTGGAACCAGTGCAGTCTGCAGTATTTGGGGATGGTCCTAGACACAGTTCAGGCAAAGGTATTTCTGCCTCCAGGGAAATATTGTTCCCTGAGGAACAAGGTTTTCAGTTTGAAGGCTAAGAGGTATCCTTTAATTTGCCTCAGTATGAGGTTTCAGGGGAAGATGGTGTCTTTGTTCGAGGCTATTCCCTATGCCCAATTCCACTCTAGATGTCTGCAAAGGTACATTCTGTCTGTTTGGAACAACAAGATTCCAGCTCTGGATTACTGCATATCTCCAGAGGTGCGGCAGAGCCTGAATTGGCAAGTGATAACTCACAATTTGCAGAAGGGAATATCCGTTTGGCCAGTGGTGTGGAAGTTGGTAACCACCGAGGCCAGCCTTTCAGGTTGAAGGGGCCATTCTGGAGGAGTCCACAGTTCTGAGAACATGGCTTCCACAAGAAAGGGTTCTTCCTAGCAATGTCCTATAACTTCGAGCAGTGAGGCTGGCTCTGAGGTATTGGACATCCAGGCTTCAGGGTTGGTCTGTAAGGATTCAGTCCGACAATACCACAGCAGTTGCATACATCAATCACCAGGGTGGTACCAGGAGTCGAGGTGCTCAGAAGGTGGTGAACTACATTCTGAACTGGGCAGAAAGATATGTTCCAACACTGTCAGCAGTGTTCATTCCAGATATTATCTACTCCTGGTATGGGATAAGCACCTTGTTAAGCTTCCTAAAGTTATTGCAGACTGAATGGTCAGTTTTGGGAACAGTAACTATTGGGCTAGAGCATTCATTCTTGGACATCTCTATTATCCCAAAATCTAACATTTTCTGCACCTCGTCTGCTTTAGCCTGTCCCTGAGAGTTTGGAATTCAATAAGGCTTGAGCCAAACACAAGCCTGGAGTGCTGTTATGTTAATCATTGAGGTACAACCTGTTAGCTCTGAGAAGGCTTCATGGTTTTGCTTCAGGAACTCTTATACTTCTTATACTTATGCTTTTTTTGCTCTGAATTCCAGGTATGGCCATTTTAAATAGTTACATTGATCCAGCTTGGACCATTGTAGCTATGCATATGCTGTACCTGTGACATTCCTCTACCAGCTAGAAATCACCATAGTAGACATCGTTGCTCCAGTGATCTCCACTTCCTTCTGAGTCCCATACTGAGTGGCTGCCCTGCTGCATTCTGAACATAGAGGTCACCCATTCAACACTGTTGCCATTGCTTTGCATTTTCTCAGTGAATGCAAAGTGTTCTCTGATGAGGTGGAGAAGCGTGGTGCTGATGCCACGCTCTCCACTTCCTCCAATAACAGAATGCTTTTCATTCATTCATAAAATTGTTATTTAAATGGCATCCCTGCTGAGAAGCCAACTTTCTGTGTTTTCAAGGTAGCAGGGCAGACATTTAGCAAGGGATTCGAAAACAAGTGGTGAAGACTGGAGTAGTGGGGTCTACTACAGGGATTTCCAGTGTTTTGGAGGGATTCTACAGGTATGGTATATGCATAGTTACATTGGTCCAAGCTGTAAAATGCCATGCCTAGAATTATTCTTTAAAGCGGAGCTCCACCCAAAAGGGGAAGTTCCGCTTCAAGGACTGCTCCCCCACTTCTCATTAAGGATTGGCACCTTTGGGGGGAGGGGGGGAGCGGGTACCCGAATTTGAAAGGTACCCACTCCCACTCCTGGTCCGGTAGCCAAGGCGATTGGAAACTGAAGGTGTCCTCCCTCCCTCCCTTCCTGTAGTCTTTTCGGACACGTGATAGGTCCCAGAAGACTACAGGACCATTCATGAAGCAAAGCTACTCGCGCAAGCGCAGTGGGTACCCGGATATGAATCCGCAAGCTATCACAGCCGGGAGCCCACACTGAAGATGCCGTCCTCCTGGAATACAGGACAGGTGGTGAAAAGGGCTGCGGGGGACACACCATGGGACCAAGGGACAGGTAAGTGGATGTTTTTTAAAAGTCAGCAGCTACAGTTTTTGGCGTTGGACAAATTCAGATGGTAAGGGGTACCCGATTTTAGTCTTGCGGGGGAGGGGTGCCCAATTGTAGTCTTGCCTAGGGCAGCACAAAACCAAAATACGTAACTGGGCCACACCCTACGCTTATTATCATGTGACTGTGTCGAAAGATGACCTGAGGGTGACTTTTAAACCAGGAAATGTGGGAATGGATTGCCTCTCCAGCTGCAGGGACCTATTGCTTATATATCTGTTTACATTTTTAGAAGTTTTTTATAATTTGAAAATACCTGTTTAACCACTTGCTGAAGGTAGTAGTAACTTTACTGCTGCCCAGCATCTCTATTGTTTCTGGGTGATGTACCAGTACATACCCCACTCATGTGTACTGCACACTCTGCCTGGAGTGTGCAGTGGTGCGATCTGCAACTGCTATGCCCACCAGACCCAGCAGATGGCAGTTCTTGGTATTGGGCTGCTGTGATTTGCCCAGATACCACGTGATCTCTGTGCAATCGTATATCACCTAGGAAACAACAGTCATAAATGTAAACTATTCATGACATCTTTATTTACTACTGTGTGTGATCTGTGATTGCTCAAAGTGATCAAATTGATACCTGGGCCAATCACAGCTCCCTATACCATGTGATAGCTGTGGCCAATGATCATCACTGTAACAAGCAATCAGTGTAAAAGAAATCCCTGATCACCCCCAGAGTAGTGACTGTGGTGACACTGAACTACTCTAATAACAGTATGTAAAAGAAATTGTAAAAGAAAAAACATTGTGAAAAAAAAGAAAAAAATGTTTTACATTTTTTTCTTTTAGATACTGTCACCAGTCAGTATCCCTGATCACCACCACACCAGTCATATGATGATTCTGTACTGCGTTGGTGACAGTATGTAAAAAATAGTGATAAAACTAATTTCATTTAATTTCTTCATTTTTCAAAATAATTGTGACAAAAATTACAACTTCAAAAAATTTGCCATGCATTTCACTAAATACCTTGGACTATCTACATTGCAAAAAGGGGCAATTTGAGGGTATTTTTACTGTTCTGACATTTTAGGGCCTCAAGAAATTAGATATTAAGTCAGTAAATCAGGATTATTCAATTATCAAATATATACCATAGCTTGTGGACTTTCACACAGTTAAATAATATACACAGATTTGGTTAATATTTTACAAAGAAGTGGTTGCAGACTACATTTGGGCCTAAGTTAATTTGTTTGCAAAATTTTAGACAGAAACTACCGTATTTTTCGCTCCATAAGACGCACTTTTTTCCCCCAAAAAAGGGGGGAAAATGTCAGTGCGTCTTATGGAGCGAATATAAAGCGGCCGGTCCGGTATTTCTGCCGCCACCATGTCAGAATACCGGGCCGGCCGCTCAGCAGTTCTCTCCTGCAGGGCCTTACCTGTTCCTCGCTCCAGCGCTGCACAGTCTTCCCGCGCTGGCTTCTCTGACAGCCGGGTGCCCACTGCGCATGTGCTGCGCTTTGTGAATGATCCGGTGTCTTCTGGGACACGACAGGTCCCAGAAGGCGCCGGGCTATTCACAAAGCGCAGCGCTTCTCGCGCACGCGCAGTGGGAACCCGGCTGTCACAGAAGCCGGCCCGGAAGCAGAGAGAAGGACAACTCCGCGGAAGTGGGAGCGGGTACCTGTCAAATTTAGGTACCCGCTCCGCCTCCCTCCCCAAAGGTCAGCAGTCTCTGGTCATTCCCTGTACTGTCGGCAGTCTCTGGTCATTCCCTGCACTGTCTGCAGTCTCTGGTCCTTCCCTGCACTGTCTGCAGTCTCTGGTCATCCCCTGCACTGTCTGCAGTCTCTGGTCATTCCCTGCACTGTCTACAGTCTCTGGTCATTCCCTGCACTGTCTGCAGTCTCTGGTCATTCCCTGCACTGTCTGCAGTCTCTGGTCATTCCCTGCACTGTCTACAGTCTCTGGTCATTCCCTGCACTGTCTGCAGTCTCTGGTCATTCCCTGCACTGTCTGCAGTCTCTGGTCATTCCCTGCACTGTCTGCAGTCTCTGGTCACCCCTGCACTGTGTCCGCAGTCTCTGGTCATCTCCTGCACTGTGTCTGCAGTCTCTGGTCATCTCCTGCACTGTGTCCGCAGTCTCTGGTCATCTCCTGTACTATATCCGCTGTCCCTGGTCATTCCCTGTACTGTGTCCGCTGTCCCTGGTCATTCCCTGTACTGTGTCCGCTGTCCCTGGTCATTCCCTGTACTGTGTCCGTTGTCTCTGGTCATTCCCTGTACTATGTCCGCTGTCTCTGGTCATCTCCTGTACTGTCCACAGTCTCTGGTTATCTCCTGTACTGTGTCCGCAGTCTCTGGTCATCCCCTGTACTGTGTCTGCAGTCCATTGGTTCAGAATATTTTCTTTCTTGTTTTTCTCCTCTAAAACCTAGGTGCGTCTTATGGTCAGGTGCATCTTATGGAGCGAAAAATACGGTAAGTATTTTTTCATTTATATAGCAAAAAATAAAGAAAACATTGGTGATTAAATACCACCTAAAAAGCTCTATTTGTGTGAAAAAAATTTCACAAATTTAATTTTGATACAGTGTTGCATGGCTGAGCAATTAACAGTTAAAGTAGCACAGTGCTGAATAACAAAAAATTCCAAGGTCATGAAGGAGGTAAAACCTTCCGGAGATCAAGTGGTTAAACTTGCGTATATACCATATATAAACTGAAATATTAAAGTCTGCTAATGGCATCCATTTACTATAACTCCTCGTTCATCTTTCTGAGTTTCAAATAAAATTTATTGAAATTGAGGTTTATACTATCCTGTTCAAATTGTCAGGTACTTTGTAGATGAAAGTATTTTTTCTTATGATATAATGGATAAGAATTGGTACATCATACTATTTGTGTATTTTCCCAACTTTGCTTCTAAACTCCCTGGCCTTCTCTTATATCTGACAGTAGAAAAATGTATTACCCCATTTACCATCATTACAAAAAGCTTTTCTTATGTTCAGCTGAAATATAAATTCACTTTGGAAGCTGGCCAAAGCTTGAGAGAAATCATGAAATGTTATGTTTGAACTACTGAAACAGCCTAAACCAATATTCACATATTCTAAGTGTGGTATCATCTCATTTGCCAATAAAGTATTATTACCTCACCATGAACCACAATTTATTTAGTGTGCTGTGAAACTTTTATATGACTATATTTGGTTTATCCACCTACATAAGAGTAAAATTGCAGAGATAGTGTCAGTGGCATTTTCAGCTTCCTTTTATACTAATATGCACTTAGTGCATCTTCTGAACCTTGTTTGCAAGGCAGCACTCAAAGGTAGTAAAAGAGAAATTAAATCACAGCCTATTCTAATTTAATGGTTGGGGTTCTGCAAAAGACCACATTTTAATGCAGTACTCTAGACCACAGCACTCAAATCTTGCATTACATCATCAGAACTGTGGTGTTCATATTTCAGATCTATTAACTGCAGACATGGCCAAACACAAGGCAAGAAGAAAATGAAATATCCCTGCCTTTCTGCTTGAAAGAAAAGTACATACAAAGCTCTTATGGCTGTACTTCTCCTATGGAGCACAGGAGTACACTTTGTTCTGCATTCCTGTGACCTATTTTCAGCTGAAGCCCGCTGTTGGCTGATGTCACAGAGCCGATCCAGGCTGGGGAAGGATCATGACCATATGGTCGAGATCCACCCCAGAGTCTGGAATGGCACCAAGCTCATCCTCTCAGCAAGCCACTGAAAGCCTGAGCCAGCCGCTTTTCTTTTGGTGGTATTAGATCAGGCTCCTAATGCTGGGCATAAATTAATGAAGAAAGTAACCTAACAGATTCCTCCATTCACATTTATTAATGTGGATAAAGTACTTTCGGGCAGAAAAAAGTGAACAACGTATATGCTGAAGCATAGGAGCTACTGCCCACTGACCACCCCATGCTCCTAGTACTCCTAGTAGTGATCAATGTAGATGAAAAAATATATGCCTAAGTATGAGGGCCTGGGCTGGTCAGTGAGCAGATTGCTCCTATGCTTCGGCATTTATTTTTTCCACTTTTTTTCTGGTTCAGGCCCTCATGCTTAGGCATATGCATCCTTTGTTTAACTGCGGATGAGAAATCTCCTTCTGCAGCACTGCAGACACTGATGTACTGTATGTATTCTGAGAGCAATAAACTGCTGCTGTCAGAATAAAAAGATCAGTTCTGTAGCTGGCATTCCTGAAAAGCAAACAACAATGGCTATCAATAACACTCACTAATGAGATCACATTAACTAAATAAAACAACTTTTTTTTTTTTACTACTTTTTTTGTAACTTACTAGATCCATATTGCATCTGCATTTGGGATTTGGGCCACAGCACCTTCTGGATTTCTTCCTGAAATTTTAAGAAGGATCCACTTCTTCCTGTTACTTTGTAAATCACAAAAGCAGGTGGCGCATGCGCGGCCGGCTCCTGGATGGACGCGCGATAAACACCGCTCCGTCCACCTGCCACAGCTGTCACGCCACACACCGACCCCGAGGGACACCACTGTCATAAGAGGAGAGATAAGAGGTGTACTCACCTCAGCAATCATGCCACGCCGCCGCAAAACCCCTGGACTACTCATTTCTTCCCTCCTTTCACGGCTGAGATCCAAGATGGTGCCGGCTGCAGCACTGACGATCACAGCAGCCAGGAGAGGGACCCCACAGCTCAGCCCATAGATGCCAGATTGCGATACCCACTATACCCAAGGGACCCTGGTGAGTCTTCTCCTCCTCTGCCCCCTACTACAACCAGCCCGGCCAAATCCAAGCCACGTTTGGACACAGAGCCCGCAGCTGACTACCAGGCCCTCAGCCAGCCATTTCCTCACCTCAACACTGACTTGCCAGTGATAGAGTCATTCCCTGCATTAGACCAGCCTCTCACAGAAATATGCATGAAAAACATGCTACTATCGCTCAGACAGACCCTACATAGTGATTTAACGTCATCACTTGTTCAGATTACATCCGTGGTCCAAAAGCAAGAACATAGATTACATCATATTGAATCTAGAATGGAAGAAATAATTATAGCGCATAACGACTTGATTGACGCACATTCTGACCACACATCTGACATCGAACAAATAAATCTGAAACTAGCAGATCTAGAGGATAAATCACAACGCAAAGTGAAAATGTCACTAATGAGGCACTACTACCCTATATACAGCAGTATATAAATTACCTCATCCCATCTCTCTCAGATCTGGAAATAGCCATAGATAGATCTCATCGACTACCTAAACTGTCATTTCTGCCAGCAACAATCCCGAGAGATGTTCTGGCACGTATACATTTCTATCACATAAAGTAAAAAATTATGTCGGCAGCCAGGAATCCGCCTTCACTCCCGCCATCGCACACAAATATCCGGCTATTTGCTGACCTATCAAAGGCCATGCTCCTTAACCGTAAAAAATTGATTACTATCACCAAAGCCTTACAAAACCACAGAATAAGCTATCAATGGGGGTTCCCCACTAAACTTACCGTTAAACAACATGGTAGAATTTTCACAATCAAAAACCTCGAAGCGGGCTTGGATTTACTAAAGGCATGGAACATACTACCTGCGGATCCTCAACATTCCGCCCCTTCTAACATCCAACAAATGGAAGCAGAATGACTCTGACTCAGCACTCCTCTTACACACTAACAACGCTTCACCTCGGATACTATACCTTACTCTACTACTCTCTGGCAATCGGCCCTGTTTAGAAAATGTTCTTGTTACCAGAAAATGTTTGGCATGACCTTTTTTATGGTCAAAGCTGTTCAAACCCCCCAATTTTGAAGTAGCTCATCTGGCTACTCGTGCTATTTGCGTTATACGCAAGTTTTTTTTATCCTCTTTTTCCTTCCTCTCCCCCTCTTCCACCAGCTTCACCAGTCGATCAGCTGCACCACCTCTTCATCTGAAATCTACAAAACATCGTGGAACACTCATCCTGATTCATCGATCGAGCCAAGACCGCATTTCCAAGACATCAGAATTCGACTCCTCACAGCTTCAACCATCCAACTTCGCTCTTCTCAAACAACATCTCGACCTTTCTACTACCCAAACCTCAGATCTACATTATGATTAATATAACATCACTCAATGTTCGTGGCTTAAACTCGCCCTTCAAGAGATCGATGCTTCAAAAGGAAACTCAAACGTTTCAAGCCGACATTCTCTTCTTACAAGAACCACATTTTGCAACAACCAAGACTCCCAAACTACAACTGCATCGATTCTCACACATTTTTATGGCTACCAATCCCAAGAAAAAAAATGGTGTCATCACAGCTATTAAGGACTCTGCTCAGTTCCGTTATATCTCTGAAATAGCTGACCCGCAAGGCCGATACCATATTTTAATTTGCCACATAAACGACATTCCCTAAACTTTAGTAAATGTCTATGGTCCCAACAATAATCAGATGCAGTTCTACAACAAGCTCTACACCACCATTTCTTTCACTCATAATCACTCATAACCAATACTCAGTTCACCCTAAAAACTACTTCTCTATCCAACTGGGAAACAATTCTCACCCTACCAATACAACCATACACTTGGGAAAAAACCTTCACTATAACCCACAAAGCCTCTAGATGTAGTTCCCACTGGGAATCTTATATGAAAATTTTACACCAGTGGTACCTAACACCTGCTAAACTCTCTTTATTTTACTCTCAATATTCTCCCAAATGTTGGAGACAATGCGTAGAAATAGGATCAACTTTCCACATATTGTGGACATATAGATCTCTCAAATCTTACTGGAACAAAGTTTTCCAACTGATTTCTTCAATCACTGGAACCCCAGTGACACCAAACCCAGCTCTCGCACTTCTACACATAGCAATCAACAAATTCCCTACAGACTCCCGCATCATCATCATCCACACATTAGCAGCTGCCAAAACCAACATTGCTAAACTGTGAAAATCATCTAAAAATGAATATACCTTGTTGTAATTTATTGTGAACCGCACTATTGTACCATATCTTGTTCTGTTGAAAATCTTTCAATAAAAATATTTAAATATAAATCACAAAAGCAGTGTATAGTGCCAATTGAAATAAATAAATAGACACCTTTTTGTACCAGTGTCGAACTCTGTGTTAAACTAAGTACAGTTTCAACATTTGGCCATTGAAGTCTAAGTCTCTCATATTAAGATAATGGGCACAATTCACTAAAGCTTATCACATGAGTTAAGTCAGTCACATGGCCACATATCACATGCGATAGTGAAAGTGTCAATTCACTATTGCTAGTATGCAGTATTTACCAAAAATAGCAAAAACACTCGGTAAATACCACATATAAAGACCA